GGGGGGGGGGGGGGTGGGGAGGTAACGGATTCCATATTTTAGTGAAAAAGAGAGTTCGGTGGCTTCTTTGGTTTGGGATGTGGCTTCGTGATCAGGAGCTAGATCTCACAGATCAGTTCTGAATGTGTTTATTGTTCATACAGACATCTATCTACCTATCATTAATAATGCTGGTAACTGACCTTCCAAAGCTCCGCCCCTTTTAGGACCTCAGCATTTTATTAATATTAGCAAACATAAGCTGTGACTAAGCTGTATAAATATGCTGTGTTTAATTATTTTCAAAATGTGGTTGTCTTTTCAACATAGACAAGCCTTAGCATATAGCAATATCACTAGCTAACTAATTTACATACATTGTTAGTTGTTAGATAAAATTGACATTGATATATTTTGACAACTTAAAATGTGACTATATGTCCCTTTAATCTTTTAACCATCTTCAAAATGTGGTTGTCTGTTCAACATAGATTAGCTTAGCATATAGCATATCTATGTACAGGAAAAGAGGAAGTTAACCGAGGCTTGCTCAACTGTTATTGGAGCACAGAGCAAAAAGGGGCGGGACTTAGGAAGGGTCAACTGTATTAGACCTTTTCTTTATTCTGGAAAATTTTACACAATGCCTTTAAAATCTAAAAACTGCCCTCATTCCTGTTGCTAAAACACTTCTGAATTAATTAACTGAAAGTCGATACATCATTAAATAAAAAAAAATGACTCTAGTTGCTCATTTGTTATTTTTTTGTATTTAAATTAAAGATGCACATTTACACTCATAATAAATCTCCAATCACAGGAAGTATTACCACTGACAAACATTAGATAAGGCCTTTTGTTGCCTTAAATTAGTTTAATGACCAGAGTTTATCACATACAACCAATTTGAGCTGGAAGCACTACATTGAACAATAATGCATCCCAAACCAAAGTGTGCCACACCGACTGAAATGTTACCGTTACACCCCTAACCAACACCAGCAACACAAGTGAGCTGCACTTGTGTGAAAAAAAGGCTGACTGACAAGCAGCTTGATAATTGGACAAATGCCCATTCCAACCCTCAGGAATGAGACACATCCACTACAGAGAGCCAATTATCAAAGCCGGCCGCTGTGCTCACAGCAGGAAATGACATCAGGAATACATGTCATTTGTAAGCGCTTGTCAAAGAAAATCAGCTTTACACCAAATCAAATGCAAACACCAGTTAAAGAGTAGAGTGGTAGAGACAGTTCAAAGTGAAATCTGATCAGAGCTGCCAAACAACCCGCCTGGAAACTGGAACTTCTACCTGGCTGAGACCATTAAGTATTCTTCTATGTGATCTTGTTTTGTTTTAAAATACTGCTCAACAGTTTTTTTTTTATATATTGGTTTCTTCGCCATGGTTCAGCAGGCAGCTCTTGGGTTGTTTGGCATTACTGATTTCTTTTAAGAGAGACAGCAGAGCATGGCCCATACTCTCCCATCTAGAGAGTTTAGATGGAGCAGGAGCCATGCTGAGGACAGACAGAGGAGGAGGAGGAGGTGGGGGAGTTTTTAGTACTTGTAACTTGCCCTGGCTTCCACTCACATTTTTCAACAGAAATAGAGTCCGACAAGACGCCTTTTTCTGGCAAATGTGAAGGTGGACAGCCAGGCTTGGGGTTAGGAAAAGGGGGAAATAATGGAAGTATAGGAGAGAGACAGAACCACTGATACCTTCAAAAACGGTCAACCATGCAGAGTGATGAGAGAACCCGATAGAATTGCCCGCCAAGCAGGTATACTCCCCAGCGTCATCAAAAGACACATTTCTCAGTTGGAGGACTTCCATTTCCTTGTCCGTGGTGTTAAGGCCAGCGGTCTAGAAAATAACAAAGGAAGCAGACCCAACAAGAGGCCCAAGAGGGGAAAGGGAACCATGAGTAAAGGATTCTGAAAGAGAAAAGGGGATGGAGGAGCGTTCTCGTCCGCCATCCAACACCATCTGCCCCCCAGATAAGTACCACAGAGAGCCCCTGCAGAGGACTCTGTCAGAAAGAGCCCTCCAGTATCTGTTAGTGGAGGAGCTGGTTAGGGTGAGTCTTGCGCTGCTGGACCCCCACACTGGGTCACCTTCCCCCATCACCACATCAAATACCTCAGTCCCATCTCTACATGCAAGAGATGGGCAACATGGAAAACTCCGCAGCAGAACAGGGCACACTTCTGTACGACTATGTGAGACAAACAACAGGAGGTCTGTGAAACATAGGTAAGCAGAGGAGGACAGCTGGAAAAAAACAAAGAGGGGGAGAGAGGGAGAGAGTGAGGGAGAGAGAGAGAGGAAGAAGAGAAGACGCACCAACCAGAGCCCAGGGACCGGGCACCAGGGACATGAAAGAGCAGGGAGCAGAGAACAAGAGCAGGCACAGGCCAACAGCCCAACAGGCGACGAAAACAGCCGGCCGACCCAGAGACAGAACGGCCCAAACCCCGGACCAACCGCGCGGATAACTAGCAACCAGCGCGAATGGCCGGAGGCAGACGGGAGGGAGGGAGGAGAGAAACAGCTGAGGTTGTCTCGAGTTATACGGCCCTAGTGTTTTTGTCCCGGTGGTCCTAGAAGCGCCTCCGCTCCTGTGCTGCTGCGTGGTGGTTACCTGTGGGCTCATATCTGGTGACAGTCAGCCAGGCCGACTGATTGGCCTCTCCTATATAATTGGACACTTTACATGTATACTCTCCGCTCTCCTCCTCAGTCACATTGTAGAGCGTCAGCACCTGAGCGTCCGAGCTATTGACCCCAGAATGCTGGAAATAAAAACACGTCATGTGCAGCACAGACAAACACAGCAGACACAGGATCAAAACTAGAGAGAAGAACTCAATTCAAGTGGGTTACGTTCAGAGACACAACAGCAAGATCACGTTGGAATAGGGCTGCCCCCGAATAGTCGACTACAGTCTTTGGGGCGATCACACAGTTCAAAAACGCCGTGGCAAAGAGCATCAGCTGTGGTGAGGCAGCGTCCCCAACCAGGCGACCAAATATGATTAACAGGAAAAATGTATTGAAGCAAACGTCGAGCTCTAGATAAGTAAATCATTTCAGAGAGAGGTTTACCCCCCCACTACACCCCTGCTCTGACGCTGTCTCACAGGCAAACAGCTAGCTAACTAGCTAACCTATCTGCTAGAACATGAACTACATGTTCGGTCTCTTTGCTGGTTGTTTAGACACGTTCAGAATCACTGGCGCTTTTTCTGTAACAGGTGGCTGTTGAATTATATATATTTAAATAATTAAATGAATATAAAACGTGCAACGACTAGTCGATTAGGAACATCTTCAGCTGGGGGGCAGCCCTATTTTTGAATCACACACACTTTTACAGACAGTATTGGTATATTATCTAATAGAAGACATGACAGACAGACAATCAGGGTTCCCACTCTCAAAAAATCATTTTCCAGGATTTTTCTTGACAATACAGGACAGCACTTTCTCACACATGGCCATATAACTTGCTGGAAGACCTAGTGTTGATACATTTAACTCAAATCAAGTAGAATTCATTTTATTTTACAGAAAATGATTCTTCGAGAAAGTGAAGGTGTTCGTTCAATGTAATGAATACAATAACACTGCTGTACATGTAGGAGAGGAGGAGATGTGAGGGAGGGGCTAAAATACAACAAAAATTTCCCAGGACAAAATAGATTATTTCCAGGATATTTGGTCATTTAAATCAATTTCCAGGTGTTTCAATGACTTGAAAACTAGTCTCTAAATCTCCAGGTTTTCCAGGATGTGTGGGAACCCTGACGATATCTGATCCAAATTACAGAAAAAAAGACTTTAACAGCATGTTGTTGCGGTGGGGTCGGTCACAGTAAGCTCCTACCTTGAGGACACGGACATACGGTAAACCGTCAGGACCGACTCGGCTCCCGTTGACCTCGATGTGCTTCAGCCACTGGATGTGAGGCTGAGGGTCGCTGAACACCTTGCACTCAAACTCCACGTCGCTGCCCACCACCGCGGTGCGATTGGCGGGCAGGCCGGCCTGCAGGATCGGCCTGTGGGGAGAGCGCTCTGCGACAGAAACACACACACCAGCGTTAGTTTACAAGAGTGGTGGTGAGCGATGAAGCAAACACGCAATATCAAAGACAAACAGCACGTGCAATAATTCAAAGGTACACACGGATGACTGATTTTCAAATAAAGCCTACGACACGTTAAGGTTTTGTTACTGGAAACGAGCGGGGCAGACGTCAAACAAGGTCGCCTGTACAATCTGATCTGATAACTGTGTGATTTCACTAGTTGTAGACTCGTATGGAGAATTAAAGCGGCCATTTCCCCCTGCTATATTCTGCTCATGTAATTTTTAAAGAGTTGGACACAAAAGATAGGGAAGCAAGTTGAGTGTTTGATCTGGAGCCGTTACTGTGAAACCAAATGTTCCTGCGGCTCCATTTCGATGACTGATAACTCTCCAAAGTAAACTTACAAGCCAAGCGTCTGGCAGAAAGTCAATTGTCCAAAGCTTTTCTGACCAAAACGTCTGTGGGGACTTAAACTGACAAAACTCTGCCCTCGCTGAAGCTATCTCACTGCTCATCGGGGTCCAGACCTTCTACTGGAGGCCAGGCGAAGCCCAGGGGGACGACAGTGACGGAGGGAGCGGGACTGATTTATAGAAGCGGTGGTGTAAGAGCGAGACGGGGCAGGTCCCGGAGGAGTAATCACTTCTCTCCTCTACATGGATCCATCGCTCAAGCCGCAAGTAAACAGGCTCAATCTATCAAATGGAAAAGACCCAGCTCATCGTGCACGAAGACCGGGTCCCCTGTGCTCTTGGGATACATTTGAATGGTTAATCTGATGGGAGGTATTTGTGAAATTGATCCTACACAACACTGAAGCCTCATGAATTAAACAGGTGATTAAACATTGATCAGGATACAGGTGAATAGCTTAAAAAGGAAAAAAAAAACAACTGACTGCATCCAAGCTGTTCCTTAATGCTTCTATTTTGTACTTGTATACCTTTTTTTAACCTATAAAACGGCACATAAATGATCTGTATTCTCTTTATTTTCCTCGTCTCAACATCTTTAGCGCAGATTACATCACATAAATGACTCTTAATGGCTTTTGTTGCACTTGCAGTAGCGCTGTCTGTCTCTCCTCCGAGCAGAGAGAGTTGATGGCTGCACTGTGCATGAGCGCTTCGTGAGTAAAAGCACCTGTGTGACAGCTGGCCTAAAACAAAGGATCAGATTGGGTTCGATATAGCAGATACATGCCTTAACCGATACCGATCTCTCAGATTACATCGGGACATCCCTGATGACTATTCAACACTTACCGACTACATCTAGCTGGTAGGTGTGGTTGATGCTGCCGTGCTGGTTTTCCACCACACAGGTGTAGTTTCCCTTGTCCGAGGGTACTACAGATTCCATGATGATGGTCCACATGTGGTCCCGGACCTAAAACGTTTGCGGGAAAAAGCCAGAGTTACAGTGGGTGTCGTACAGAACAAGAGTTTCCACCATAGAAGAATAAGCACTTACTGAACACTTAATAACTCTTAAAGATTGCTCTTTAAGTTCCTGAAGTTAGAACTAAAATGTTTTAAATCAACTTTAATGAAGAGAAACGAGGCCAATCATGCCAACGGAGGTGGAGCTAGTCGGCCATTCTGGGTCTAACAGCAAAAACATGCTTTTTCCACAATGTGAATCGTCGTAAATCAGTTTTTTGTGGTTGTACATTTTAAAGTGACGTCTAACAAGGTCAATGATGTGTGATGTGACGATAACAAGATAACCCACTACTCCCTCTTCCTGCGACACACCAGCCGATGTTTTAATCAGCAGATCTTTGTCCTTACCCAACAAAGACCACGGGGAAAATGGGGTACCTGTTTTATATACATCTGTGCCAACCTGTCTTATTAGCACCAACTGATGTCTGGCTATTTCTTTCTCCAAGACACGTTATAGTTTTTCTTCCATAAATCTGCCAAGACCGGCAGTGTGTGATTAACCAACGAACCTCTAAGGCAATGGCAACATCAAACATGCGTATACACAGACTGAGCCGTACGGTTTCCCTCATTTAGCTAAAAAACGTGATGAGGGAGTCCAGCTGCCTGCTGCCAGATGTGCTCTGCTTGGCTTCATATACATGTGGTCTACATTATTCCACTCCCTCCTGCACCTCTCGATTCAGACGATATGAACAATAGAAGCCCGGCCATAAAAGCACCAGTGTGGGAGGGATGAGAGACGTCCTCGGCCGCTGATGCAGACCTTTGCACCTCAACTGCAGAAACAGCAGCCAGATGGTTATATACGCTGCCTGCCTGCCTGGCTGGGCGGGTGGGGGGGCGAAGGGAACAGGCAG